ATATATCGCGATATATCGCCTTGTTTACGGTATTGAAATATATCGGGATATATCATATCGTGACCCCTCTGTCATGATATGTATCATATCTCCAAATTCTTGCCAATACACAGCTGTAGTCGTCAAACAGGTAATATTTAGAAATACTCAGGAAGAGGCTGTGAAACCAAACGCCCCTCCATCCCTCACACCTATCAGGTCACATCCGCCCGTGCCACGTCTCTGCTAAGCACAGCTTTACATAAAATAAAACGAACCCCTCAGTTAAATCTCATCGACTGGTTGCAGGAAAATTCCTGCTAAAGTCTCTGCCCCCCCACGTTCTCACATGAGAATATGTAAATGTGCGCAGTGTGAGCCCTGGCAGCCGGCAGATTAATCAGAGCATGCCAGCGCCTCTCAACCAGCCAAAGCTTTTCCTCTTCCTCGCCCCTTTGCCCAGCGCCGCTGCGCCACCGCGCTCATTTGCAAGAGAATAGATAGGGAGCTTTGCAAAGGAGTACATGCCTCATTTAAATGTTATGCCTCCAGCCCGGGCTTTGAGTGAGATTTATCCTCAGAGAAATGTATGCAAATCCAAAGCATGCATCAAAGAGAACAAGCGATTACATTAAGAAAGAGGAGCAGTGTTGTGGAGCACACGGGATGCTGGTATTGGCCCACGTCGCCGGTCCAAATGGCTGCTGTTTGTAGACCTCCTACATGGGCTTATTCACAGGGATATAAGGCCTGAGAGGGATAACACGTGTGGAGGTAGCTGTGGTGAGGATGTACAAGCACACACACATACACACGCGTGAGTAAACAAGGACACACACCTGGCATCGAGGAAGCGGGAGCGCAGAATCATGACAGCTTCACAGGTGCTCTGCTTGAGCTGCATCTGGATGGAGCTGAACTTGCGGTGGATGATGTTCACCATGCGCTCGATCTCTTTGGGCGAGATGGGCCGTGTGCGCGACTGCTCCCGCAGCAGGTTCATCACGTGGGTGGTGAACTCGTTACACGCCTGCAGAGAAGACACACACAAACACAGACACACACACACACTGTCAGGGCTTTTCTTTATTTTTTAGGTAATCTTTGGTGTTTAACAGCGGTGTTCCGACTCCAGTTTTTCTCAAACCAAGTACGAGTACTTAAGTTGGGTACTCAACAATAAAGAGTACTTACTGAGTTAGAACTGAACCATTACAAGACTTTAAAATTACATTAAAAACAAAAAAAATTGTACAGGTCTTCTGGACGGGTTCTTCTCTAATGAAACGTTTCGTCTCTCCTCCAAGAGACTTCTTCAGTCTGAGAGTTTCAGGCAAAATTCAGGCTTTTTAAGCACTGCCTCCATGTGACTGATACTCACATCACATGGCTATCGTTGACACCTAATTAACACTTATTGTTAACAGGGGGTGGAGTGATACTGGCAATAGCAGCACTGTAGGAGGGGGACAACTGAAAACGGAGGCCTCCAACTCTGTTTAATGATGGACGGTCTTTCTTCACAAAAATGGCTTCTTTTACTCCTCTCTCAAACCAACGTTCCTCTCTATCAAGAATGAGAACATCCTCATCTCTGAAAGAGTGACCGCTGGCCTGTAAATGAGTGAAAACTGCAGAGTTCTGGCCATTAGACGTAGCTCGTCTGTGTTGGGACATTCTTTTGAACAGTCAACGATAGCCATGTGATGTGAGTATCAGTCACATGGAGGCAGTGCTTAAAAGCCTGAATTTTGCCTGAAACTCTCAGACTGAAGAAGTCTCTTGGAGAAGAGACGAAACRTTTCATTAGAGAAGAACCCGTCCAGAAGACCTATACAATTTTTTTCTTTTTGATTTTTTACCTGGATTACTGAGATGCATCAGGACATTAAAATTACATTATTTTATTTAGACCTACAGTCCCTCTGCCTGGATCAAATCAAATATACAGCATGATATAAACTGCTGAAACATTTTACAATAAATAAAAATAACAAATACAATTCTCTTTCAACTTGTATAAATTTCCTAAACATGAAATTACCAATTCACTGGAGTATACTGATACCAGAATCCCTTGAAAAAATACTGGAATTGAGACACTTTTGTGCTTTTTGTTCAATTTGTTCCTTTTGGTTTCACGTCCATTTTGAGTGTTTAGTTTTGTTCGTCTGTTCTGTGTTTTCCAGTAGAATGAACAGTAGTATTTTTCCACAGGCAGCCTCTGCTCCTCCCGCTCACATCTGTTCCCCATTCTCATTACTCCGAGCTGCAGACACTTACCTCCTCAGGTCCTGTTAACACGAGAAATATCTCTGGAAATGTTAGTGTTCTTTTTTTAATGTTGGGGTAAAAAAGGAAAAACCACACATTTACGTAGATCTGCTGTAGTCTCTACTAAGGCTGCACTGATTGCAGTTTTCTGGCCAATCAGCAATCTTTAAAAAGTCTGACCTGCCGATTTCGATTTTGGCAGATACTGATTTTTTAAACAGCTGATAGTGTCAGATGTTATAAAGTCATAATACACCTTTAATGTTCCAGTCTTATTTTATTTAAATCATTGAACAATACTCATGAAGCAATACATACTAGTTTTACCTGGACATCAGGTAGAGCTCACAGCAGAGCAAAAGAAGACAGTGGCTGATTTTCAGACCTTTGATGAAGGTAGATGAGAAGCTAATCTTATCTAATTATTGGCTGATCTCCTGAAATTAGGGAAACTGGTGCACCACTAGTTTCTAAGCCTGGCACAGTTACCAGATAGAAAATGGTGAACTTATGTACTCTTAAAAAATATTGTATTTTGATCCAAACTGTCATACGTACTGAGTGTTTGTGTTGTAAAAAGAGGTGTGTGTTGTGTACCTTGCTCCTTCCTACATGCTGAGAAAGGTTGAGCATCACAAAAAAACACTGCTGTCTGCGATTTATTGTACCTGTTTTTAGTGCAGACTAGATACACTGTTTGAGCATCATCATGGCGATGTACGTGTGTGCAATAGTCACATTGCAGGTCCTGTTATGAGAAGACAAATTAAATCAACGTGTTATCCAGGGACTGAACCACTAAATCATAAGTCATTGCACTAAACGGTCGTGTTAAGGCTGTTCAGTCGACGGAAGTGGGCGATTCTGTGTCAAAAAAGCTAAAACTTTAATTTTGCTGTGAAACGTCTGGGACAACAACGGCAGTGTTTTTCTGTGCTGTCGGTGAACTCTTGAGCTGTGGAGGAAGATGACGAGGATCGAGGCAAAAACAATGAAGATGAACAAATTTGCAGAGAACTGTAGGAAAAGAGGTAAAATATGAGTGCTAATACTAAAGTGTGACGGAAACAGCAATAATATAGAGACTGAGGCCCTCTCTCTTCTAATCTCTGTTCTCTGAGCTGTCTGAGCTTTCTCCCATTGACTTGGATTTCTCTGGTAGAATTTAAACCGGGCCAATCAGCAAACAGAAGGAGGAGTTTTGAACAATGATGTTGACTTTCTGTGCTGTTTTATGCTGCGTTCACACCGAATGCGATTTCAGCTTCAAAATCGCAGCCAACGCTGAAGTTGGTCGCTTGTGCACTTTGAGGTCAGACGCAGGTCAGCTCTTGAAGCGCTGCACGGCAACAGCCTCCCCGCCCCTCCCTCCTCTGTCGGGCTCTGTTTAATGTCGGACGAGGAAGTGGCTTTGCTTTATTTACAGAGAGCAAGAGCATGTCACGTTCATCAGATAATTAATTGTAGGGGTCACCTCGAGTGAAGAAACAGGAGTCACAGCCTCAAAGCAGGTCTTGCACAGGCCTGAGA